TGCTAGTGGTGTCTGCCNGTCATAGTAGAGTGTGGATGCTAGGCCTCGGGAGGTGCCTGTCGTCGTACTCAACCAGTGAGGAGATCAGATGGCTTGTGCCAACCCCAGTGACAGTCTTTTGCCAGGGGGCATCATTCGGGACGAACACATACAACAGCCTTGCAACGAATATGAGCGAGAGTGATAGACGGAAATCAAAATTCCCAAAATCACCTAGTTATCAACAATGGCCTGATCAATACAAGACTAGAAAAGGTAAGCAAAGAGAGCCAACTACCTCTTCAGCCGCGAAGCGTCTGCTCTTCCAGCCTTTGCCAAGGTGCAGAACGTCATGTGCTAAGAAATGGAATCCTTCTCCCATAGTGACTATGCGAGTTTGGAATCCTTTGCCAAGGGCCGACAGAACGTTTGTGAGATTGTATTACAAAACGAGTTTGCGAAAGAAGCGTTTTTTGTGATTACTTGGACGGAGCGAATCTCCTGACGAGTCCTGGCAGCAGGATTAGGGTTTAAACCACCAGTACATCCAGCTATCGCCCGCGGGCCCTTTTTGGAGGCTGCCCGCTGCCGATTCAATTTATCGATGGTGCTGGGCCTCCGAAAATTTTGTAGGTGACGAGTTTTCTTTTCAGCTGCAAGGCTGGGCCCGTGTACTGGCGGTTTAAACCTGTTCGTTTTCATAAATTAAATTTGTTCGACCTTTCTTTCTCAAGTGCTTTATAGGCTGTGGTTGGGGATGGGCCAGGCCGAAAGTGCCTCGCTCAGCCCCACATGACCATGGCCCAAAAAAGGGCTCCGGTTGGGGATGGACCAGGTCGGAAATGCCTCGCCCAGCTCCACATGACCGTGGTAAATATTTAAGGGACGCCTGACCCGTTTGCCAGCTATCAAAAGAATGGTTATTTTGTTTAGAAAAAAAAGAAAACTAAAATAATAATAAAGGGAGATACATTCTTTTTTTTTTTTCTATAAGGGAGATACATTCTCAAAATGATTTCCAGGTGGAAAAAAAAAAAAAAAAAAAGGGAGTTCCAGGTAGGCAAAAAAAAAAACACGTACCCACAGGTCCCCCACAAGCCAAGTTCGAAAAGGCAATCACGGAGGTGCAACAGTTTCTACTAAGTGCGGACGTCGTTCCCAATAAGTGCGGATGTCATAACTACAGGGGCAGGTAGTGGTATGCCGAGGGCGCCTGAGTTCAAAAACAACGAAATCTTTCTCGCTGCGGCGCCCTAAACCAGGTGACTCTGGCGATAGCGTCTGCTCTGGCGAGCGGAGTGAGTGCCAGGATAAAATCAAGAAGTGAACCACGAATCTCAATTCTCTTGTCTAGACCCAAGCAAGTGCACACTCAGCCCAGGGCCAAGGGCACAATTCTTCGACACAGTTGATCATGGTATTACGTATAGTATCATCCAGATAAAGCGACCATATGCTCGGCCGAACCAACCAATCATTTCTGATGGGATATATGGCTCTACATGCTTTTTAGCTACTGGATTCCATGGCTTTCATGTCATCGAAGGAACCATTTTTCTTATTATCTGTTGTGTTCGTCAGTACATGGGTCATTTTACTCGAACACGCCATTTCGGGTTTGAAGCTGCCACTTGGTATTGAAAAAAAGCAATAAAATAAATTCTACTATTTTCGCTTTTTTTGCTGTTGTGCAATTATCTCATTGGGTGGAGCCCTCCTTCGATCACCCAGTACATATATGGAGGGTGTCAAGATCGCTGCTCACAGAAGTCGAGTTTATTCCAGAAAAAAAAGTGGCAGTTGCTTTGTTCACTGTTGTTGGGACCACCACCATCAGGTCGTTATTTGTGATCTGATGGCTGGGAAGCACTCTGCCTTTGTTTTGCCTTTCTCCTGTTGTCTCAGCTCAGAAATTCGTAATGAACCTGTCAGGCTGCTGCCTCTCAGTGTCACACTGGATTGGATACGCCACACTCCTATCCGACTGCTAATGGGACCACACCCCTAGAGAGGCTCAAGAGGCCTGTTTTTTTTCTTTTTTTCTTTATTTTTCTTTTTTGTTTTGTTTGTGTGTGTGTGTGTGGTCAGCCTATTGTCAGTTTGCAGACAGTCAATACCTTTATTTTTTATTTTATTTTTACTTTTTTTTAGAATAGCCCTTACGATATTCCTCTATCCTGACGGTGGTATGAGAACCGTCTGAATTGAGGGCTTATTTGTCGGGCTGCTCCATCTATTGGTGGGGAGCGGCACCTGCTGGAAACCGGGTTCAGAGTCTCATAGATACATCATGGAGCACAGAGATTGGAGTTTGTTGATTCCTAGGGCTGAGGCGATTTAATGACTCGTCCCGGGGCTCCATTATCCCATAGAGCTGCTGGTGTTCCCTTCCCTTTTTTTGAAGCACCTATTATGTATCAGCCCAGCCCTATTTCAGCAGCCCCCCTGCTAGACTATTGCAATGTCTGACCCTTTAAACCCTTTACAACCTATTCCCCGTTTCCAAATTTATTGCTGTGACTGTCCCTTTAATCCTTTAAGCCCTATACCCTCTTTACAGTCATGCGTCACACACTTGTGAGGCCTGCAAATCTGCAATAAGATAGAATGATCCCATTGTGTGTATGGTGACAGTTGGGGCATGGACCATGGTTCTCACAGCCCCTGTACTGGGAGGTAAGCGGTTGATGTTGTGGGCTGGCCGGCCGCCACTCGGGCATGTTGGGGGGGGGGGGGGGGGGAGGGGGTGGAGGGGGGGGGGGGGGGGGGGGGGGGGGTGTTGGGGGGGGGGGGGGGGCAGGGGGGGGGGGAGGGGGGCAGAGAGAAGGAGGGGGGGGGGGAGTTAGAGGGAAGGGAGGGGGGCGGCGTGGGGATGGTAGGAGGGGGCTGGGACGGGAGAGGGGGGGACTGTGAAGATGTTGGGGGTGAGTGGCAGGGCCCGACATGTGGGGTAGGTCCTGCTCCCCGTTACTCACTGGCACGTCATCTAGCGCTCGTTCTGGGTGTTCGGGGAGAGGTGTTGGAAAGCACTTAGTTGGTCTGTATATCCATCGATGGTCCGCTGCTGCCCAATTTTTCCATGTTAGCCTGCCATCACTTTGCACCTCAGCCATTTTGTGGTTCGGATGTATCCATCTTTGTGTGAAGATAGTGATCGCTCGCAATGTGGCACGAACTCACTGCCTCGCCATTCCAATGGAATGTAGCCCTCATCCTGCTGGGAAGCAGAAAAACTTTCCGCCCGCCTGGTCACCCTTCCAGGCAAACCTCTTTAAACACATGAGGCTTGCCCTACTTATGGTCATATTGAGAATGAGGTGCTCAGTAGAACGCAGAGAAGACTCCTTCGGTTTTCATCAGGCTAAAGTGGAACTTCTCGAGACGATTCGAGCGAACCTACTGAAAGCTAGCAGAAAACTTGTGGAAGCGGTGGCAACAACCTTGGACCACGCGGACATACGAAGAGCGATCATGATCTTCCCTGGGCCTCTTTCTACTGGATCACTCCAAGTCTAGTGGCCATGATTGGAGCTATAGTACTTACCATGCACAAGACTACTCAAGTAAAAAGACAAGATGTTTTTCAACAAAATATGATAGATTTTCAAAAGACTACAAAAAAAATACAACAATAGAAAGGTCTCTCCTACCTCAGTGGTCGCCACTGGTTGGAGCAAATGGCTGTGAAGTGTGCCGATTTTGACTTACCTCTCTGGGACTCTTTGAACTGGATCACTACCGTGGGCCTCTTTCTACCGAACTATGAATCTGGTGCTGTGTTTGTGCCGGATTCATGATCCAGTACGCTCATTGACCATGGCGGGACGGCGCTTAATACCCAACAGGAGAAGGTCGGACGCTTGGTACGCAACCTGAAGACCTTGGGCGCACAGAGCCCAATAGGTTTTCGAGCGGGCGTGGCAACAACCTCGGACCACGCGGACATACCAAGAGCGATCACGATCTTCCCTGGGCCTCTTTCTACTGGATCACTCCAAGTCTAGTGGCCATGATTGGAGCTATAGTACTTACCATGCATAAGACCACTCAAGTAAAAAGACAAGATGTTTTTCAACAAAATATGATAGATTTTCAAAAGACTACAAAAAAAATACGACAATAGAAAGGTCTCTCGTAGCTCAGTGGTCGCCAGTGGTTGGAGCAAATGGCTGTGAAGTGTGCCGATTTTGACTTACCTCTCTGGGACTCTTTCAACTGGATCACGACCATGGGCCTCTTTCTACCGAACTATGAATCTGGTGCTGTGTTTGTGCCGGATTCATGATCCAGTACGCTCATTGACCATGGCGGGACGGTGCTTTATACCCAACAGGAGAAGGTCGGACGCTTGGTATGCAACCTGAAGACCTTGGGCGCACAGAGCCCAATAGGTTTTCGAGCGGGCGTGATCTACCTGTTTTCCCCAGTCAATTACGGCTGATGAACTCACGATATACTAATGATGAATTGATATGCATAGGGCCTCTCTGCACCACTCGCCAAACGCCAGCCAACACAATCAAGGATTGGTGTTTGGCGAGTGTTGGGTGTGGCCACCACACAAACTGTCACCAAGCTCTAGTGCTCACCAACACGACTTCCCGGTCGTGCATTTTTTTCGCGGAGTTCGGTGAAGCGGCCAACAATCCGATTCGGAATCCATCAAGAAAAGTGGGTTGCAAACTTCCAAAAGAATCCAGACTGCACGCCGGGATTGGCCACTGAAGCCACCACGCTGGCAATCCCGGCAAAGAAGTTCTCTCGTTGGTTTGAAGAAAATTTCTCACAGACGAGGGATAATTCAGGGCTGATAGAAATGACATGTTTATGTCCGAGTTTTTGGGACTTTTTGACATTTTCATTTTTTTAAGGACACCCTCCATAACATGAAATTAGGGTCACCCTCTACTTATGACATGAAATTATGGCCAGGCCTATAATTCTAGTGAATTTTGCAGGGTTGAGTGGAACAATGATGCAGATTAGGGTCATCCCCTAATTGCAAGTGGCCTGTGGATCAGTGGTTAGAGCACCAGTTGTCAATGCGCATTGTGGTCGGAGGTTGTGGGTTCAAAACTCTGCACCTCTGCGCAGAGACGCCGGAGAGCGTTTACATAACGTAAGGTTAGTTGCATACCCCGTTGGGCTGATGCAGGTAAGCTATTACAGACTCTGGCTGCGCACCACCCAAGGGATGTCCATGGTGTTGTATGCTGGGTCATGATACTGCATGGGTTGCTTACCGCTGTCGGTATTGGTTGTTCTGCCGATGTCCCCGGTCTGTCATACTACGCATAGGTACCATTAGCGAGATCACGTGTTCGAGCCTGGCTCGGGACTTTGGAGGCTCTTGTCCAGGTTGGCCTGGCATCTCTTCACATACCATGCATGCCAGTGCCTCCATACTCTCTAGACACAATGCTACACACTGCCTACAGTCACCTACAACCATACAACCAGTCCGGGTCGGCGTCTACACATACGCACACAAAAAAATGAGAAAACTACGGCGCAGTCAGGGTTTGAGTTTGTAATTGCACTTGAGGCAAAAGGGCCGGTAATGCTGAATGTATATGACCTACGTTTAGGGTCCGGTGGGGTCACCTGGGGGTGTGTTGTATTCGCGGTATTGCCTGAATTGCAATTACAAACTGTTTTCGTGACTGCGCCGAAGTTACCCCCCAAAATATATATACAGACCTTTCTTTGTTCCGTGGGTGTTTTGCTTGCTTGTGATGGGGTGTGAAGTTGTGAACCGACAGTCTGTAGAGTTTTCCATCTGGTGTGGGTGAGTGATGGTCTGCTTTGATTTTCGTCACAGGTACCTTGAGGGCAGTGGTTGGTGCCCACCTCAGGGTATCAGTTGTCGGGCAGTCGTTGATGCTTAACCACACCCGGGGTTAAGGTGGATTATCACTCACAGTGTAATCAGTTAGGGGATTCCGCAGACTGTTGAGGGTTCAGCCTCCTGATGAGTCGGTGAAGCTCTCACAGCCCCTCGTTTGTTGTCCCCTTCACCCTCTCTGCCTACGGTTTACCGGGCAGCTCTGTTTGACTATATATATACATACTTAATCGGAGGGATAGGCTGTGGGCTAGTGGAAGGACGACATTCCCGATTTACCTGGTCGCCGCTACCACCTGCATGAGTTTTCTGCTGGCTTTTACCAAATTAGCACGAATGACTTCAACTAATTCTGCGTTGGCTTGATGGAGGCCAAAGGCTGCCTCTTGCCTTTCTGCTGAGCACCTCTCGTGCCAAATGACCATGAGGACTGCCAGCCTCATGTGTTTGAATAGATTGTGCTGAAAGGGTGTCCATGCAGAGGAGATATTCTTGCGTTTTCCTAGTAGGATAAGAGCAACATCCCATCGGAGCACATCGCCCGTGAGCATGTGCCACATCGCGTCCCACCATTGTCATACACTTTTCGCCATTGGACAGTCAAGGAGGCAGTGCTCGAGGTCCGCCCTTCGTGGTTGGGTGCCGGGTCCACAGTGTGCGCAGATAGGGGATAGGACTCCCTTCTGCTCTAAATTAGATCTCGTCGTTAGCCAGTCCGGTGTCGAGAGGCATCAGTGGGTTATTTGCCATTGGAGGGCTCTATGGGAGATTGCCATAATGCATAGCTACACCGGACCGGACTCCGGACTTCTTGGCGCCATCCGTACTTCCCGAAAACCGGAATATTCCGGAATATCCGGACCGGTCCGGGGCCTCTGTCCGGATGTCTGTCCGGAACCCCTGTATTTTCCGGGCAAAAAAAAAGAAAAACACGACTGTGGGGGGGAATGCTCAATCTCAGGTCTGCATCTCAACAGTTCAAGGGTGTGCCACAAAAAGGCTGAATTATGTCGTGGAGGTGAATTGGCTGTTTTATTCTTTCGAAAGGGCGACGGCCTTGAGATTATGAGATATTGCTGGATTCGAACTTGGGTCTGCATTTCAACAGGTCGTGTGTGTACCAAAGTGGGCTAGGCCCGCTGGAATGCCATTGGCTTTTTGCCAACGGCGACGTGCAAAAAACAAAGTGTGAAAAATGGAAGAAAGAGAACTCAAAGAACCTGCCAAGTGGCAGGCAGAGGGAAACGTGGAACAGAAAGTACCCCCATATGTTGCAGGCACTGTTTTTTTCCTTAAAATGGCATATTCATTTCAGTTTTTCTTTCTGTTGATGTCGTTTGTCTTTTGCTGGAATGCATGAGCGTCCAATCCAGGGAACGAACACACGAATTGAGAGGACACAGTCATGCCCTTCTGCCAAAAACAAGAAAAAACAACAACGAAAAAAACAGAAAAAAATGGTTTCCCTTGGAGAGCGGACACACACATTGCTCCATTACTCACCACATGCACAATGGACAGAACATATGGTGGCGTATCTTTCCATGTTCCAGCGGAAGATTCATTCTCATTTTGCACATTTGGTGAGCAGTGGAGTGAGGCCCAAAGCCTCCATAGGGCCTCACTGCACTACTCTCCACAAGCAGAAAAGACAAAGAAGATGGCAATGTATCTTTCCATGTTCTAGCGGTGGATTTAGACTCATTTTGCGCATTTGGAGAGTAGTGCAGCGAGGCCCAAGTCATTGCAGGCGCCCGTCAGAACGGGCGCTGTTCTCTTTCTGAAAGTAGGATTTTTTTTTTCGTTTTTTTTTTAGACTTTCTTTATTTTGGGGGGGGAATGCACTAAGCTACCTATCCTGGGAAGATACGGGCGAGTCTGATAAGGGCCTTGTGCAAACGACAAAATACCAAACGAGGTTGGTTTGCTTTGAAACGAGGGCAGGGTGGGAAAAGAAAACTTAGGGCCTCCGTCCGGCCCTGTCTGGATGCCACGCACAACACTCAAAAAATGGCCAAGTATTCTTCCATGGCGGCCCATATTGGAAGAAAGTGACCTGGGCCGCCTGGAAAAAAATTGGGCTACCCCCCATTCCCACCATCCGGACCGGGATCCGGAAACCTGGACCGGACACAGGACTCCGGACAGTCCGGATCACTGTCCGGGGGTCCAGATCGTAGCTATGGCTTAATGTGAGCGTACGTAGTTCATGGGATGTGACACAGGCTTTCCTCAGACAACGGAGAGTCTCTCTTTCACCTGTTCTTGACGACTGTGGTGGAGGGGTGGAAGGTATGAGCCCGCATGTAGCCCTCTTTAACTGAATACTGCGGGGTGGGGTTGCGGCCCTTCCATTCCCACTCTTGCTGATCAAAAGGTAGGTCAGTGACAGGGGTGGACATCTCGTATGAATAGTATCCTGTGTCCTCGGATCCCACGACTCTAATTCTTATTAATTCATTCTCTGGGACTGTGCGGTAGAGTACCTGGTTGCTTTTTAGGGAGGCCCACCTCGCCCCCAGCACATCTCGTATGAATAGTATCCTGTGTCCTTGTAATTCTTATTAATTCATTCTCCGGGACTGTGCGGTCCAGTACCTGGTTCCTTTTTAGGGAGGCCCACCTCGCCCCCGATACATCCGGTTCGTAAGCGTGCATCTGCACCCCTTCGTGTGTGACATGTGACACCCTGAAGAGTACTTCCTAAAGTTGTGCCCATTAACGAGCCACAATTTTAGGAAACGTACGGGCCACTACAGGAGCGACCAAATTCATCTGACTAGAAACGTTTCTATTCCGATAGGCGGGCCAAGTACTGGTGGTTTAAATATGTTGCCAGGTGTCATAACTTGTGCTCAAAGGTCTGCTTAAGGGGGAAACTTTAGGAAGTACTGGTGGTTTAAATACGCTGGTGGTTTACACACGTTCAGCATCTGCGTAGACGCGGGCCAGGGGTCATCACTTGTGGTCAAAGGTCCGCTTAAGGGGGCAATGGTCACGCCCCAAGTCTGAGAAGAGTCGGGGAAAGGCCTAAGGCCTAGGGGTACCCCCAGGCCAAGTCAAAAACGGCCTTCAGAGGCCCTACGGACGACAGTTGACCTTGGGAAAGTCAAAAAGTCAACAGTCAACCCAAGTACGGGATTGCAGGCCCAGGGGTCAAAGTCAACCCGCTGAATGTCCCGTCAAATCTTTCTGATCTAATCTGCCTCAGTAAATGTGGGTACAGCCGTACTACGCGCCAAGAGTTAGGGTCTCGTCCCGCACTTCGTCCCCCGAATAGAACACAGTTATTTATTGCAGTACGCGACCAAACCTGAGTCTAGATACAGCTAGAGCAACCGGTTTTTTCTTAAGGGTTGACGGCCTTGTTTTCCTTTCTATGCTCCTGAGGTGCTTCCTCTCTCATTGCCACCTCGATACTTTTCCCAGCCAAACCTCCCGCTCGCTCTGCTTGTGTGTACCAACGGGACTAGATTAGTTGGCACACCCATGAACTGCCGAATGCAGGTGTGAGTTCAAATCCAGACCCCATTAGATAAACAGAGTCAAATCCAGACCCCATTAGATAATCAGAGTCGAACAATTACCTTGTGGCCACCCGTTCAATGATGATATCTTAAGGCCATCAACTGTTGTTATCACAAGGGACAGAGAAGCTCTGACATCTGACCCACCAATCAAAACTGGAGTGTGAGTCAGGTGAGAGGTGAGAAAAGGAAGGGAGAAGATCTATACTTGTATTAAACACCAGTTCTTCGGTGCATGGGTCAAGGCACTGGGATGTACGGGCTGCCTGTTGAGGAAAACTTCATTCATGATGACCCAACATCAGAGGTCGGTGTAGCTTGGAGAAGTTTGAACCACCAGTGGACTGCGGGGTCATTTCACTACAGTGCCAGTGTGGATGGAGACTGCGTCCCCAGTGTACCAGCCTGCCTGAAATGGGCCCGATGTGCAATCATTGGGAAAACTCAAAATTTGCTTCAGGAGAAGATGTCCTGTGGCGCACTTGTGGTTTGGGAAAAAAAAAAAACAAGGAAGATGCATTGGCCCAACTATTGGGTACTTTCCCGACACCTTGTCATCATCACTAGGATCAACTTCCTCCCCCCCTCAATAATTTGGGCCATTTCTCGATTTATGTGTGTCCCACTGGCATCCCTAGGAGGTAGGGCCCATGGTAATTAAGGTCCTCGGAATTGCTCCAATTGTTGAATGGGTCCTGAAGGATGAAAGTACACTGGAAGCTGCTTGTGTCTGCATCACCAGTGTTTTTTTT